AAATTCACTCCTCTCGGCTAAAGGGTCGTTGAACCTCGCTCGTCGAGGACGGCGCGCGTCACCGATGTGACATCATCACCCACCGCCCACCACCCACCACCCACCACCCACCGGTGGGTGGCGCGCGCCGATGAGGGGCGACCCGGCTGCTGGATCGTAGATGTACGCGACCTGTTCTGGTCACCGAGTGCACTCCTTTCTGACCAAACGATTTCACGTCCTAATTTCCGCGCATCCGAGACGACGCTTCCTAACGAGCCCAGAAGAAGCGGGCCGGGGGATCATCTCGACAGGGCGATTCACGGTTAAGCTGGTGCGAATGCGAATTGGGTTAGCGAGGAGCAACTGAGCAACTGGGCGACAAAGCGGCCTCTAAGTCGCCGTTGTATCTTGGCTCGAACGGAAACCGGGTTCGCATTCGAGAGCACTCGCTATGTCGGTTTTAATGACGAGGAGTTTCTTCGGGGGAAAGTCGTTACATCGTTTCCCTAGGCCGGCCCTTCGTTTATCCTCTGCCACTTGCTCGTTACGATCCGCGTCCACTTTGTTTCCTCCTTGGCCCGGCGTAGCTTTTGCATTTTTAATGCCGTCGTCGAGGATACTTCTCCGGATTTGGCGGAACTCTTAGATCGGATGTCGGGGATGACGGGGAGGGGGTTGCTTGAAATTCTATCCGCTGTAGTCCGGGTTGGTGTTCCTTAATTTTCCCAGGTTTCCTGCCAAACTAACGGCCGCTTAGGAGATAATTGTTGGAACACATTCGCCGTTTACTCGACGAATTACATTATATCCTGTAGCCGACATGACCAGCTGGCGAAAAGCCAACTTCTGATTGTTCCACAGTTTCTCGAGCGCTGAGTCCGCGTTCGTGTCTCTGGAAAGTGCAGAAACGGACCAACCTAAAAATGTACTTGACATGTTTATTTTTCTCCAATTTTTAGTCGGGACCGCCTGAGAGGAAACCGTGTTCTTTTAAGTTTCGCGTTTTCGAAAATACACGCGAAATGCAATCTAGGACTTTAACTAAATTTATTTGATACGTCATCTAACGGAGCATGTGCAACGGTACGCGTCGCAATCGATCGGCCATTTATTTGATTGCCTACGTGGATAACCAACCGTATGTATAACTGCATGCACCATCGCACTCGGTTTGGAATTTTGTGCATGATTACGTATAGGTATCATTGAATTGCGAGCCGCCGGCGTCCTTGCATAACCTAGTTCCTGGTCGAAATCGATTATCGCTGCCTCTAGCGGGGACAACGAATCAGCAAAGCAAGACAGTAAGAGAGACCTAGATTTTATTTAACAGAGATAGAAAGAAACTTGAGATTAAAAGGGAAACAGTAAGGATGGCAGCACGACTAAGCCACTCTTTCATAATTACTGTACGTCATAAGATTTACTGCGATACGTGATATAGCTCCAGTCGTCTCGAGGGACAATGCGTAATTTTTTCCAAATAACACGGAGTTCACTTAGTACTTTTAATTTACAGATTGAGTCTGTAATTAGACTTCAACCTTAGCGTACGTGTAATCATGCCCTCGAACTCTATTATAGTACCATTGCGCTACAGCTGTATTCGAAGTTGACATCTTCAAAAGCTCGGTTTTTACAATATTTAAAAAATTATTTCTTGTTCCGTCCCCGTAGCTCTAATGCTCACGGCGACATCACAGATTTAACATGACAGCAAGAGCTCCTGTTAATTTCTGTTAGCAACGCGATCTAGGTACTGGGTTACGAATTATCACGCTATCCGAAATTAAGGCACCATCGGAAATATGGAAACTTTCCTCTCCAAGTCGTTACCTAACGATGTTCTGATTAATTCATTTCTCTCGGGAACTTTCATTAATTCTTGAAGGGAGGACATTGTCGATGAGTTCTTTCTTTTGGAGCCGGGTCCATTGCGGAATCCACGTTTCCAGTGGCTCACGCGATGGCGGGCTCGTGTGCTCGTTGGCCCAGCGGGTCGATGGCGACCAAAGGAAAAGAGGCACTCATCTCGTCGAGGAGGATCCTCGTACCTACACTCGCGCCACACTTATCACACGCCGACACCCTGGGATCCTGCCGAGAGCCGACACAAAAGAAGTCCAACCGAGCCTCGTCGCGACGTCCACGAGTGCGCGGTCTTTAACTACTCGTTTTAACCGCGCCAGGGCGAGGAAGTCGTCGGAGAGCGAGATTAGAGAAATTATAAAGGCGATTGCAGGGCTCCATGAGGGTAATAAAGGCGGAGGTCGACCGAGAGGACTTAGGAACTGCGGTTACGGCCGCTACTTCGGCTCGGCTTGACTCCTACGGTTGCGACGTCGCGAAAGGTCGTTTAAAAAAGTAACCACATGATCGTAGATCGAAATTGAGCATCCTGGAGCGGTTATGATCACTACTTGACTTCGTTCCTGCAACTGCATATATTAGCGCGACGTTCCGCTGCTGAAACTTTCCTGAAAAGGTTCACCATGGAGAACTATAAAAAAAATGGAACTTGCTGGTGATGTTTAAAAGCGTTGATTAATTCGATTTAAGCCAAATTTAGGTGGAATTAACCTTTCGCGGTCAACATTGAACGTGACGCGACTTTGCGTTTCAAGTCTTTCTATCGACATTGTTCCAAGTCTAGCGTTCAGGACAGGACGACATTGTTCTTATCTTTAAGTGCTTTATATTTCATGTTTACAATTGAAGGATACTAAAGAGGTACACGTCGAGAATTAATAGAATATGAATTAACGGCGATGAATGATCTTTCGTTAGTTTCTACTCGCATTCGAATCAAAAGGCGTGTAGTAATAAGAAACGGTGGTTTCGTAGATTTTGAACCAAAAATGTCGAGAGATTGATGAAAAACGAGTGAAAGTTGCTCATATTCCGTTGAAAGCCACGTCGAGTTGCATAAATGGCAAATCCTGGCTAGTTCGAGCGGAAATTCAGTCAGCAAAAATGTTTTTGTCTACACGGCACACAGAAGAACGATCCGGATTACTTCCGGGTGAAGTTCAGCCAACAACAGTGAGCGGTTTTAACCGTCGAAGGACTCTACGAGAAGAGCTTGCTCGAAATCGTGTCACGACTCTTCACAATATCCGAGAGCATACGTGATGCGGTATTGCGGATCTGGAGAGTAACTGACACAGTAGCTCTTACGTGGCAAATAATCACGAGCACAAATAATACGAATGCTCTGGGGGAACGGACATTTGGATAGGTCAATTTGTCCATCAAACATGTTCCGTGCACTACTCTCTACAGTGAGTTTGATCTCGCGCTAACTTTAACAAAAACTCACGCGAGTATATTCGTGTAATTATGTATGTTTATTTGTATACGGAACAGTGAACTGTGCTACACTTTTGTATGTTACGACTCGAGCGAAAAAGTTCGTGTTGGAAGTTATGGCCGTTTGCGTCGGTGCCGGATAAAGTTCCTTTTTTTCTAGGATGAACAAATTCTACCTTGGTGATGGAAATCTTAGCATAAGGAGACCTCCGAGATAATTTTGCAAGGGCAGAGTTTTGGAGGGATCTCCGAGGATAGGTTGAGAGCAAACGGGATGCGTTTTGCAATACAGCCGATTGGTCGAAGAGGAAGAGGTTACGACGGCGCGAAGGGTTGCGCGGTTCGAACGCAAGTATGCTCGAACCGGTAGCATACAGTCGAATCGATTTATTGATCAGCAAAATGTAACTCTAAATCAACGCTACTGTATTGGATCAGTCGAGGACGATCCAAAACATCTGCGAAGACAAGCAGTGCTTAATCGGGGCTTAATCTAGTTCGAAGAGACGCTCGCTGCCATGTAAACACGTTCATTTTAACATTTGTCCCAACAAGGGTAATAATAAATAAGTTAACTCGGTTCATCTCCTAATTATCCAAAATATGAAATGACAAGAGGCAGGACGCGAATATGAGAATATAAAAGCCCGGCTAGGCACAAACGCTACAATGAGAAGAGTCTTCCGACGCAGAAATTGCTCGGTCTTTAACCATTCAACCTAGCCGCGAAATTGCGAAGGAAGTCTCGCGATCATTGTCGAGGAGCTACGGAAAGTGTAATTAGAGAAACTCCAGGGACGACCGTAAAGGCGTAAGTATGGCCGAGGTCTACGTGGGAGGAGCAAAAGTGCAGCTGCAGCTGCTGCTACTTCACCACGGTGGAGTTCCGTGCGTTCTAAAGGCTGCAGAAACATGGCGCGCCGCGACAGCGGCGGTGCCGTTACCTGGAGAATTCTGCTCCGGAGAACCGGGCAACTCCTTGCCGAGGTTCGCGAAACAGGGAGCCGGGAACAGGGAACATCGTGTTCCGAGAGGAAAAGGGATTCTCGAGGGGGGCCTGCCCCGGGAAGTGCAGTCGGAGAGAGCCCACGTAGAAGGCAAAAACGTGGTCGAGGACTGAAGTGCCACCACTCGGCCGAGATATGAACGAGACGGACGCTGCAGTAAGCCAACTACCCCTGTGCTTACATAATATAAACGTTGGCCTCTGGGGAGCCCTCCGGTCGAGAAATCATTCACAAAACATTCGAAGTCCGTGTCTAAGGGATTTTGGAGACGGAGAAACGTTCCTACCGAGTCGAGGGAGCATTTCGTGACTTCGGCAACTGACCTTTCAAATATTTTCAAGATTTTTGAGGCTTGGTTCAAAAAATATATATACATGGATTATGTAGTGAATAATGAGGTAACTTTGTGGGGAGCAAGGCCCATGGGCCTTATTACCCAAAGTTACCTTATCAAGATTTGCGACAAATGTCGATTCAAGAATTAGGGCATTGATGGGAGTCCTTAAGGTGATGTGATCACGGAGATGCATTCACTGTTTACACTTCTTTTTTTTTAATTTAATTTTTATTGGTGGAATAAATTCGAAACTCGAAGAGGAGTTATTCGGATGGATGTTTTGCCTTATTTAGAGAATAGTGCTGATGGATATGAACGGTGAGCCACGATTTCAATGATTAATGAGAGTTTTTGTTGGTTTCCAGGTTGGGTCGTTGATGCCTGATGGCGCGCGCTGGCACACAGCGCTGGAGAAATCCTGCTCCAGAGTAAGTAAACTTCTGTTGCTCTTCATTTTCGTCCTTACTTCACGTTCTTGACCATCCCTCGCGAATTGTTACGAGACGCCTAACCGGGAAATTCGGGTACGAAGGACCTGCAGTTTCCATGAATCGCTCGAGATATATCTCCAAGTGGAAATGAAAGAAATATTATCACGACGTTTCCGGGATCTCTTCCGGACGATACGGCCTCGGTTAGGGTATGCCATTTCGTGAGATAACGGAAATGGATGTCTCTGGAAAGGTGTATTTTGGAGAGACCCCTGTAATGCGTCTAGATACAAAAACTAACCACTGTTTCGGAATGGCAATGTCTTTAGATATGCAGTAACACTGATCCCTCGAAAGATTGCTCTGCATATTTCAAGATATTTCTTCCAAGACAGTTTCGTATTAACGAATAGACGAATAGCCAGTGAAACAACGAGGAATTTAAAACAGTTGTTTACTTTGAAACGTAATTCACCGATTGAATGCATTTACATTCGTGGATTCCTCGTGTTTAAGGAAAAGAATGAAAAATATCGAAGCTACAAGAGTTGACTGAAATGTACCGTTTGGCTATGAACTTGTTTAACTAGCGAAATAACAAAACACGATTTTTCCGCGTGTGCAGTGTTTTAAACAGTATTTAAGTACGTGCAATAAATACATCAGTTTGTTCTTCATACTATGCTCGCTTGAAGGGTGGTTACTCTCGGAGATATATCGCGCTTGTTAAAACTTAGCAACAGTGGATCTAGTGGGGCATAAAGCTGAAAATGATAATGTAACTTGAGAGCTTCCGTGTGTTTTACTTTTTGTAAGATCCTGAAGTGCTCGCACTAGTTGTTCGCCGTGTAGAGGAAACCGAGATCAATTGTAACAATTTTTACGTCCCTGATTATTTAATTGATGGTCACGAACTCTCACGATTGAAACGGAGTACATATATTAATCGAACCTTCCACTAAAAAATAGTGTACGTTCGATCGCTTTAAAAGTTCATGAAAAATTGACAACTTTATATTCCGTACTGAATGTCTTTGTTACAATTGGCATTAGTACAGAATACAATTGCAACACATGTCGGGACAAATGTAACGATGCTTATTCATTTTAAATATTGATTAAATATTTAACAATGAGAAGTATAAGTTGGTAAATAGAAAAACGCAACGGATGTACGGATTGACATCGTAGACGGAATTACGGATGGAAAGGTAAAGTTATCAGTAGGAGACCTTCAACTCCCCAAAAAGAGAACTCGAAGAATTTCTGAAAGGAATAGAAGCGCCCATATTCCTTGGTGCAGATTTTCCCTTCCTTCGATAGCCGATTCCATCGTCCTGAGTTTCCTTGGGAGTCAGAGGCATAGAAACGGCGAGAATTAGCATTTTTATCCTTCGACACCCGGGGGTAACGGATGAAAATGTAAATCGTCGAGGGGATTTAAAAGGTTGAAAGGATTCGGCGTTTCCGAGCCGACGTGTACATACGCGGTGACGCGTCCTCCTCCTCCTCCTCCTCCTCCCCCCCGGAATATTCCCTGAAAGGGTTCCCTTTCCGCATTCGGGATTCGTACGCACCCTCGATCGGTGCTCGCGTGCACCGAACGACCTTCTCGTCGGAGCGAATCTAAAGTCTGAATCTGGCAACAAGAGACTGAACTTAGCCTCGCTAAAGGGGTCGGAGACAACTTCAACAGTTTACAAATCGATCTTTTCTTCGAGACGGTGAATGCCGATTTTGCACTCTCCCTTGCTACTTTCGTAGTACTCGTCACGTTTTATTATTCCCATTTTTCACGAAAAAGCGGTTGTCTTAGCTTTTCGCATACCTTTTTGGATATTTTTTGTTACGCATATTTGCTTAGAAGACACATTTTCCTGTACTGAGCTGAAAGTTTCCTTTGTAAACAAAATTACTTACGGCAATCGAAATGTTTCCTGCTTAGGAAATTCTTGGCTCCACTATAGTTAATTCTATACGGATGGTAAAAAAATGCATTTACGATAGTTTCCAGATCAATTGAGTTTTTCAATCATTTTTAAGGCCGGAAAGGGGCTTTATGGATACCGGTCCATATCGTTTTCCGGGTGTAGGTATGCGATTATCGATTTTGCACGCTAGATAAGTCCCTGTCCGAAGATCATCCGAGTAAATACCAAACCCCGTTCTCATCGTCACTTCACCGGAAGAAGAGTACACCCTTTAGACGTCGTGCAAACTATCCTAATCGTTTTCCTCGGTTGCTGATATACTTATTCGGTATACTTCTGATACGATCGCCACGAATCGTTGAAAAGCTCTCGGAACAAACTTAATAAGTATCAGGAATAATACTATTAAGAATATAGTATTGGTATTAAGTAAAAGCATTCGGAAAAGTATCCGAAGAACGAGCCCGGACTGCGGCGAGGGTCTGCACGTGGGTGGTAGGTCGCCGATGCGTTCTCCGGGTGAAAGAAGCCCGATGCATAACCGTTGCCCCGGTGCATCGGTCTCTATGCAAATCCGCGACTCAGCGATCCGGGGAAAACGAGCAGGACCCAAAGGAAGCAAAAGGGAAACATAGAAGTATCCCAGCCTCGCAGCTGATTAACGTCCGCCGTAACGGAGCGGATTAATGATCAGTTATTACCGCGGAGAGGCCGGGCGCATTACGGCGCGGATCAATTAACTACTTAGGGGCCTTCGGTGTTCGAACAATCGGCACGGCCGGATCGATTTGGGGTGAATTACTTCCGGTGGAGTCGTCGCGGGGGGCGCGCCGCGCGGCCCCCTAGACTCGCTTTTCATTTCGTTCGGGCCGCGGTACGCTTTTGCGCCGCGAGTCGGCACAGAGGGTCGTTTATGATTTCATGAGTCCTCCGGTGGACCCATCGAGCCGCGGAGACCCGCTCGGAAGGCGCGATTGATTTTTCGAAACGATTCGCGCCCTCCGGCGTCCGGTCGCGAATATCACGGCGCCGGGGACGTGCTCCGCTCGAGCGTTACAGGGGGTTACCGGGGCCTCGTGTTTTTTGACTTCCATTTTCGCTTTCATTTTGCCGCCATTTATAATCGGAGCGAGATTTAATATTCCCCGGGGACGTTTGGGACGCTTTACGCTTTCCGGGTCGAGCCGTGCGTTACCGCCGCTGCGATATAGCCCCGTGGTCAAAGGGACGACCTCGGCCTGACCAATGGCTTTGGTGTCAACGCCGGTGTCAATGTCCGTGTCAACGGCAGCGTTGACGACGGCGGAGGCCACTTATCCTTTGTCCACCCTTGGCTTTTACCTTCCGGATATATTTTCCTACGAGCCGTTCCTTTTTCCCCGAGACGCCGCTTTTGCTCGTTCACGTCAGCGGACAATCGTTCATCGTACATCATCGTAAATTTCCGCACGTCGTCCCGGAAAATGAATGGCATTCCCGTTTTTCCGACATCGATTTAAATGGACCTTAACTCCCTCCTTTGCGGGGTACTCTCTGCAGGAACACTCTTCCTACGATCATCCCACGACGCTAATTGCAGCTTTTCGATGCCCCCTTATCGTGGCCTACCCCGTTTCTTTTACACGTGTCCTCGTTTACGAGCCACATCCCGATTAGATTCGGACATGATTGCCCAAACGTCGGAAGAACGTTCCAGAGTTTACGAAGATCGTTATCGTATAAAATATTTTTCAAGTATAACTTCTTATGCGGCGCTCGACCCTCCACCATTTGAGGAGTAAAATGCTGGAAAAGATTAGATGTAACGAAGAAGCGTTACGCATTGGAATGTATCCCCTCTCTCTTTCCCACATCCCAAGCCTGTGACGCCATGTATTCCGTATGTGTGTGTATATATAATATATACGTGCGACATAGCGACGTAACGCTATCCATCCTATCTCGAGCGAGCCTATATAGTCTTCTTTCCTAGCCGGGCGAATGTGTACATTACGGAATACCGAGTAGTATTTTGTGTCAACTTTCACGTATATGTTGGTGAATACATCAGTCTGTATATACATATGCAATGGGAATTAATATAAGTGACTAGATGTACCCCAAGCGCAGACGCGCCTGGCTTCGGCGGCACGGCTCTTCGCGGTGGCTCGACTGTGTCGAGTTTGATCAACCAATCACCGAATCTCGATCATGCGATCGAAATTTTTTTCATCCGATGAAACTTTTGACAACCTCGACCCCGATTTAGGGGGGACGTGTATCGGCGATTTTCAAAAGACGAACCGGAACACGCTGAAAAAGCGGTACCTTTGTTTCGTGACATACGTACATACCCACGAAAACAGCGCTTCAGTAAATGGAGAAAAAAGTGAAAAGGAAACAAACTCTATAATTTGGAAAGCTGGACCTTTCATTTTGGGAATAGAAGCTCCGTCTATAAGTAATGCAAATGAATTGCTGAAGATTACTTCGGTCGTGTGTCCCGCGACCAGTACATTTCTTTTTTTCCATTCCACTTGATTTCCTCGAGCACTCGACGTTACAGGCTTCTAAACTCGTGCGGTGCTCCGCCGTAAAAGACAGAATAGGTGACTTTCTTGTCCTCGGCCGAATGGAAACGCTAAAACTAGCGGCGGACTAATTATCAGGACCAGCCGCAATCTCCAATTGCCTCCACGCCTTCGCTCGCCGGGAAGTCCTCGTCTCGAGTCCTCCTCGTCGAAGGGGTTCCCCGAGGACGTTAATCACCGGAATTAGCAGTTATCGCCGGGCTGAGCGCGCCATTGAGTAAACATCCCCGATTCGCCGTAGAATATCTAGATTTCTGTTTGTTCGACGAGTACCTCTCCGAGGTCCCACTCGTGCCGCGAGTGGTCCAGATCGATCCCTAGAGCCCTGTGAGTCGGCGACCCCGACCCTCCCGAGGGCGATCTTCCGCAGATCTTAACGGCGTTCACCACCAAAGTAGGGACGATGACTTTCACCGCTAGATGGCATTAACATCGAATTCGGTGGGAGGTAACCAAAAAGTACTTTCTCGCTCGAATAAGTAGACGCGACGCACCA